TGTGGATGTCACCAGCTGTGTTCATAATTAGAAACTCTCAACTCTCAAGAGCTACAGATATTACAGGTCCTGAATGGTGGTGCACAATGGTGAAGGTGTTGTACTCAGAGCAAATACTACAGCTTTTTATTTTTATTTTTATTTTTATTTTTTATTTTTACCTTCCAGTAGTTTCAGATGAGGGAAAAGTTCAGAGGAATATATATGATGTAGAGGGGAAATATATTTAAAATTTTGCTTAATGTTTTGCTTCCTTGTATTGGATCATTTCATGGCCAAAGGTACCATCCATCATTTTGTAAATTTTTATTCACTAGCCCTTATTCCTCATGCGATGTCGTTTAGCTATCAGAAGGTCCCACGGTGGACCCATGGGGAGCACAAAGTGAGGCCCACAGTTACTGTCACAGTCATTCTTTATATTTTTTTACACTAGCCCTAGTTCCTCATACGACGTCGTTTTCTGTCCACAGTGGGCCCATCCATTATGGATGTGGGGGAGGGTTTTTGCATAAGGTGACGCCCACAGGTCTTTGTTTTGCGTATGTGACTGGTCAACATCTTCTGGGCTTTTACCTTGCTTTGCTTTGCTTAGCTTGCCTTGCTGTGATGGAAAAAGTTTTAGTAATATTTTTTTTCTGAAGCATAAGAAACCTTGGGAATCCACGGTGCTAGCCAGGCTGCAGAAGCATTGATAACTACTGTTGCTGACACTCAGTATCATGGGTTTCATATGAGACCTGGGATCATCTTGTATCACGAGTCATAATTGATGATCCTCTTTGTTCTTCTTTCCCTCATGATCATTGATCATGATTCAAGATTCATGTTCATTTTCCCTAGAATTCTCTCTGGAGCATACTCCTTCAGCTGATTGAATGACAGGTGTTGCTTGTTACATTTTCCTCATTTATTCAAATTTATCCCATGAATCTCATTGCTTAAAATTCTAATTTTATTCAAATTTTGTTGTTGTTGAAGTTTTAATATTTTAATATATTTGTTATTTTACAATTCAAACAATAAAATAAAAAATTTAAAATAAATGGAGAGCTCTCAACATGAAAGAATTTATTTTTCATTTAAAAAATTATATTTTACAATTTGATATAATCTGAATTGTAAAATTGTATTAAATTATAAAATAATTTTTTATTTTAATTTATAAGAAAATTTAATTAGTAGTTTTTTATTTATTATTTTATTTATTTAAAAATACATTTAATTTGAAAAAAAAAAAAAACAAATAGAAGAGTTCAATTTGTAATCATATCTAGACAATTCATTAAAGATACATCCACAGCCTATTACATTTAGAAGAATTATGTTTCATTGTTGCAAAACTTAGATTTTAAATTTATTTTACAAAACAATATTTACCCACCATTAAATTTATTCATTAAAATTTCCTTAAATGAGTAATATGTTATTTATATTGAAATAAGTCAAATGACTCCAGACGGTAAGAGAGGCAAAACCACTAGCGTCCTTGTCCACCCCTACCCGATGCTAGCAAAAGGAGAAAGCATATTAATCCAAGAACCCAATTCTCAGATTCTGCTCAACTTTCTTGGGAAAAATCCATCCAATTTTGTGCAGCCTTTTTACCATAACTGAAGCTTAAAAAGCAGTATATATCTCAAACCAAAACAGTATTAAATTATTCTCACTTTGATAAACAAACAACCAAGCATGGTCAATTGGGTTATTAAACAAAACCCCTTTTAAACGATCCTCAGGCAAGATGCCTAAAAATTAAAAGAGGATCAACCCTCTGTCCCATTGCAATTTACACTGTTTGTCTGAGGTAATAAGAAGTTAAAACTTTATGTTAAAGGTTTTTTTCTTTCTATAATATCAATATAAACCTTTAATCTGATTAGTTCAGATACTTAAAAATCAGATTCTTTTACCATAATGGTGATGAACATATTCGAACTTGCATTTTTAACTCGATTTGTAACAAGGTTTACCATTGTGTCAACTCAAGTCAGGTTAGCCAGCTGTTTGTAGACAATAATGATACATGGATACCAAATTTTGATGATTATGTTTTCTCATATTTATGAGGTTCGTCAGTTTTTGTCTCTCTCTCGTCGATTAATGTGGGGGACCTGAAGCCCCGCTGACGGTGTGCCTTCTGCGAAAACTGGATTTGTTTGGTGGAGCAGTTTGACATTTCTCCAGAGCATATATGCAGCTGCAGTTGGTAGGTTGAAGTTTTAAATTTCTCACTTTATTATAAAATCTTTAGTACAATTGTAACTTGGGAATGTCTATCTTATGATTGTTGAAATGAGCATTTCTTTTCCTCTTTCTTTTTCATTCGTCCTCAAAAGCTTCTAAAGCATGCTTTTCCTATTCATTGTTAAAATCGAAATTCTTACAAATAACATGTTATACCATCTTAGATATATAAAACGATATATACAACAACGTACATGTGTAATAAATTAGAATTTTTATCAAAGACAAAGACTAACACAGAACCCGAGAAACATTTATGTGTGGGTGGAGGAAAGATGGGTAAAAGGGGTAGGTCAGATGTCTCAGGGCATCAGCTGCCATTGTTTGTCCTTTTATTCAGATATGGGTTAATGCCCAATGACGCTGAACAACAGATTAAACAGATAATACTCATTTCACCCAAAATAATAATAATGATAATAATACTTACGAGTTAGGATTGAGTATGGTACAGCAATGGATCAAAGGACAAAGGAGGAGGTGAGGTTGTAATTTGAAACAGAACTTTTTAACTTTTCCCTGTCTAATTCTGACTTTGAAGAGTTACGAAAGTGATTACTACTTGAAATATGTAGATAATAAATTCTTATAACATAAAACATAACCAGGGCTTGGCTGTTGGTTGGACAGTTTGAACCGAATTAAATTTTTAGTTATTTAAAAAAAATTCTAGATGTGACTTTCATACTAAACTTAAATTAGATATTTGATTTGATTATAATTTTAGATAATTAAAATTATTTAGATAATGCAATTAATTAACTAAAATAATCAAAATTTTTATATACTAATATTAATGTATCATTATTTTTTACTATTGGTTAT